GTGAGTGCATGGGAGTGCATCACACTCCCAGCATGTTGTTGGTGAGTGCATGGGAGTGTATTACACCCCCAACATGTAGTTGGTGATGGAATGCAATGTGGAGTGCATTACACCCTTAGCATGTTGGTGGTGAGTGCATGGGAGTGTATTACTCCCCCAGCATGTTGTTGATGAGTGCAAGGGAATGCCTTACAACCCCAGCATGTTGTTGGTGAGTGCACGGAAGCGCATCACACCCCCAGCATGCTGTTGGTGAGTGCATGGGAGTGCAGTACACCCCCAGCATGTTAATAGTGAGTGTATGAGAGTGCAAGGGCAAGGGCAAGGAACTCTGTTCGCACTGAGATAGCAGTACTCACACTGCGGCACTCGTGAGAGTGCTTGTAACTCGCACCACTTACTCGGAAATATTAAATACATCCGTTCTATCGCTAGGCTTCGTCGTCCTCTGGTCACAGACCGAGCCGTGAGGGTGTTGACCCCTGGAACCCTCTCCAGGTATTTACGCTGGGCGAGCAGCTAGTGCTACTAGCACTTAAAATGATGGACTTTCATAATGCATTAAAACAGTGGAGGACCTACATTTTGGGGCCCTGAAGTTTGAACTGTTATGAGGGCCCCGTCGCAACCTCTTCTCAAACAGTAGATCCAAAATTTTTAAGCGATGTGGATTAAAGTGGCTTCTGGGGCCCCTCCGGGATTACGTTCCCAAAGGCTTAAGACTCATTAGTTACACAGTAGATCTGCCCCTGCATTAAGGACAGTCTAAAATTAGTATATGTGATATTTTCGTCCGCTCTTCTCTCTTCTTCAACGTGACACTAACTGGAATCATTTATTTTGTCTTGGTAGTAAATGCATCTTCACCCCTCATTATCAGCTTTGTTTTGATAAACTGTTTATTTATTAAATGGAAGACCTTAATCAGAGCTTAAGGTTGTTGACTGCTTCTTGTGAAGTATTACGGTAGGTGAGTATTTTGGCTTAAGATTTACCTGGTAAATTAGTTGTTTCTGTGTAATTGTAGATTTAATTACGATTTTTAAAAAGAAACTGATGATAGAATAAGGAATCCATGGTGAAATTAAGAGTTTAGGGAGTCCACGGTGAATTTAAGAGTTTAGGGAGTCCACGGTGAATTTAAGAGTTTAGGGAGTCCAGGGTGAATTTAAGGGTTTAAGGAGTCCACGGTGAATTTAAGAGTTTAGGGAGTAAACGGTGAATTTAAGAGCTTAAGAAGCCCACAGGGAATTTAAGAGTTTAGGGTGTCTACGGTGAATTTAAGAGTTTAGGGTGTCTATGGTGAAATTAAAAGTTTAAGGAGTCCACAGTGAATTTAAGAGTTTATGGAGTCCACAGTTAATTTAAGAGTTAGGGACTCAACAGTGAATTTAAGAGTTTAGGGAGTCCACGGTGCCGAATAGGCAGAACTTGCGATCTTGGCTTAAATAGCAACGCTCATCTTGCCATATAAGACAAGTGAAAATTTGTGTATGCAATAATTTCGCCAAAATCATTCTGAACCTAACGAAAAAAATATATTTCACTGTGTTTGTTTAGTATTAAATTATTGTAAACAAATCTAAAATATATTTAGTTGGGTTAGGCTAAAATAAATTGCGCTTGTTATAATAAGGTTAGGTAAGTTTTCCAAGTTCCTTTTGGTGCAAAATTATAAATTTTTACATCAACATTAATGAAAAAAATATATCTTTAAACGTGTAAGAGAAAATTTTAGAAAGGACTTAATTTTAAATGGATTCTTGCTAATTGACCAGTTTTACATATTCGCACGACAAATGTATAATAATATTATATATATATAATTATATATATATATATATATATATATATATATATAATTAGAGAGAGAGAGAGAGAGAGAGAGAGAGAGAGAGAGGAGAGAGAGTGGAGAGAGAGAGAGGCTTATATTGGGCAGAAATGAAGGAAATAAAATGCATGCTGAAACTGCAGTCGTAACTAAATTAGGAGTTGCCTGAAGGGTATTGATGCACGGTATTAATTGTAAAGGATATAAGATAAGTTATTCATGGATTTCACTGTAGTAACTTGAATCCAAAGTTCAGTGCTATTGTAGAGTGATTTTTTTAATTACAGTGATAAATGTAGCGAACAGTGCGAGAAAGAAAAACGTGTGTGAGATGTGTATGAGGTGTGTGGGACGTGTGTGAGACGTGTGTGAGATGTGTGTGAGACGTGTGTAAGATGTGTGTGAGATGTGGTGAGATGTGTGTGAGATGAGATGTGTGTGAGACGTGTGTGAGATGTGTGTGAGATGTGTGTGAGACGTGTGTGAGACGTGTGTGAGAGGTGTGTGGGACGTGTGTGAGATGTGTGTGAGACGTGTGTGAGACGTGTGTGAGATGTGTGTGGTCGTGTGTGAGAGTGTGTGAGACGTGAGTGAGAGGTGTGTGAACGTGTGTGAGACGTGTGTGAGTGTGTGTGGACGTGTGTGAGACGTGTTGAGAGGTGTGTGAGAGGTGTGTGGGACGTGTGTGAGAGTGTGTGGGACGTGTGTAGAGGTGTGGAGATGTGTGTGGGTCATGTGTGAGAGTATGTGGACGTGTGTGAAAGTGTGTGGGACGTGTGTGAGAGTGTGAGGGACGTGTGTGAGAGGTGTGTGAGAGGTGTGTGAGAGGTGTGTGAGATGTGTGTGGATTGTGGTGAGAGGTGTGTGAGATGTGTGTGGGGTGTGTGGGAGGTGTGTGGGACGTGAGTGAGAGGTGTGTGTGGGACGTGGTGAGAGGTGTGTGGGACGTGTGTGGGAGTGTGTGGGACGTGTGTGAGAGGTGTGTGGGACGTGTGTGGGACGTGTGTGGAGGGTGTGTAGGGACGTGTGTGAGACGTATGTGGGACGTGTGTGAAGAGTGTGTGGGACGTGAGTGAGGTGTGTAGACGTGTGTGAGGGGTGTGTGAGAGGTGTGTGGAACGTGTGAGGTGTGTGGAGTGTGTGAGAGGTGTGTAGGACGTGTGTGAGAGGTGTGTGAGAGGTGTGTGGGGTCGTGTGTGAGAGGTGTGTGGACGTGAGTGAGAGGTGTGTAGGACGTGTGTGAGAGGTGTGTGGGTCGTGTGTGGGACGTGTGTGAGAGGTTTGTGGGACGTGTGTGGGGCGTGTGTGAGAGGTGTGTAGGACGTGTGTGAGGCGTGTGTGGGACGTGTGTGAGACGTGTGTGGGACGTGTGTGAGACGTGTGTGGGACGTGTGCGAGACGTGTGTGGGACGTGTGTGGGACGTGTGTGGAAAATAGACAACCCAATATTACCTGGGGGGGGGGGTTATACTGATGGGAAAGCTCTAGACCCGTGGGGAATTATATAGCGCCTGGGGAATGGGAGGCAATCAGGATTAAACCAGTGGAGGAGAAGGAAGAGGAGGAGGTAACTCCGATCCTTTGGATCAAGAGCCTTTTATCATGATGGACTGTTACTCAGAAGAAGCTTTTTCCATCAGTATGGCTTATCCTGTCTCCTCTTTCCATTATCATTTACTGAATTATGTGATTTCTCGCCTTCTTCTCTTCATTTGTATTTTCTTTCTCCCTTCTCTCTTGTCATCTTTGTAACTGTAATTATTGTCATTATAATTTAGTTCCTTTCTTTTTGCATCATATTGTCCGCACTTTCTCTACTGTTTTTTATTCCTCCTCTAACTTTCCCTCCTTCGGTTCACCTCATTTTTCTTTAAAACTTTTGGATTTTAAACTTATTCTCATCGAGATGGAAAAAAAGTATTGGAAACGTACAGAAATTTTAATGCGGTTTTCTCCTCATTTTCTTGTCAAACATTTTGTTCTTTTTCTTCTTTTTTTTCTTTCTTCTTCTTCTTCTTCTTCTTCTTCTTCTTCTTCTTCTTCTTCTTCTTCTCCTTCCTCTTCTTCTTTCTTACTTTCACCTCTTTTTAAATTATCTCTCTTCATTTTCATATTTCCATTCTCCCCTTCTTCTCTTCCTCTTTTACTGCTTAATCCGGTATCCACCCTTTCCCTTTTCTTCCTCTTTTCTCTTCCTCCTTCATCTTCACTTACCCTCTTTACATAATTTCCCTAGTTTTACTTCCTTTCTTTCTCCTCTCTTTCTTCCTTCACTCTCCATCATCACCTCCATCCTTTCCTCCTCTCCCTCCCTCCCTCCCTCCCCTCTCTTTCGCTGCCTCTCTCCTTCTCTCATTCATCAATCTTGTGTTCATCCATGATCCCCTAAACGAGGTCGGCTTCTATGAATCAGGGAGGCTGGGGCGATCTTCTCCTTCTCTCATCTCACGTATATGGGCAACCAGGAGGACGTTGTTGTGTGTTATTCTCTGGCAGCATCTAGTGGAGAGACAGTTGTCTGATTGTGTGTTTTCTCCAGTTTTATTTTTTCCTTAGATCTTTCTGTCTGTTCTTGTCTCTTCCCTCTCTTCTTTCATCTTTGTTTCTTTCTCATATTTTTCTTCCCTCTATTCATACATGTATTTCATGATCTTGTCTTCTTCAATCTTACTGTTATGTACTCTCCTCCGCTCCCCGTTACTTCCTTCTTCTGTTTCAACTTTCCTCTCTCCCTCACATCTTTTATCCACTTATTCCCACCTTCGCACACATTTCTACCTCACACCTTCATTCCCCAACACTTTCTCTCCCTCGAACTTCCCTCACACTTTTCCCTCTATCATACTATCATTCACGCCCTCTGTCCCAGTCTCACTCGCACTCTCCTTCCCTAAAGCCTCTAGCACCCCCTCCGTGACTCTATCTGAATCACGCCCTCTCACCATCAAATCTTCTCACACATCCTCCGCATCTCCCTCCCTCCCTCCCTCACATACTCTCACTCTTTTATCTTTTCTGCCTCCCATACATACTCCCTCTCACAAGCTTTCTGCCTCTTGTCTCTGTTGTTTATAAGCTAACAAACAGTCACATCGTATATTTCTGCCTCTGTCCCACATACTCTCACAATAAACATTTCCACTCTTCTTCCCTCCCCCTCCCCTGGTAGGTACATCAAGATGTCGTCGCCTTACCTAAACAACGTGATCATCGTGGGTTGCATCCTGACCTACACCTCCGTCATCCTGCTAGGGCTGGACTCGGAACTAACCAGTGAGACCAGCTTCCTTACATTTGTACCGCCCGCGCCTGGGTTCTCATGGCCGGCTTCACTCTGGCCTTCGGATCCATGTTCTCCAAGACCTGGCGGGTTCATTCCATCTTCACCGATGTCCAGCTCAACAAGAAGGTGAGTTCAATGTCTAGAAAGTGAGTTCGATGCCCAGAAGGTGAGTTCGATGTCCACAAGATGAGTTGATGCACAGAAGTTGAGATCTATGCCCAGACGGTGAGTTCAATGCCCAGAAGATGAGTTCGATGCCCAAAATATAAATTCGATGAGACAATTAAAAAAATTCTAAAATCTTTTAATGAGAATAACTTTTAGTAGACGTATGGGTTGCAGGTAAACGAAAAGACGGGTGGAACTGACAAGAGTATGAATGGTGAGTGGTAAGATTGAACTGGGGATGCATAGAGAGAACAGAAGTCTAGTAGTTGAATAAATTAAATAAGAAACGTGCTCGTGGACAGACAGAATTACAAGGGAATATTCCATAGGTTGAATTAAAAATAATAAAAAGTGAAGATAAATGAATAATTTGAGACATAGGGAGAGATAGATGGATGAGATAGGAGACAGGTAGTTGGGTGGACCGAAGTAAAATAAGTTAATGGATAGATGAAATGGATAGATGGAGGAATTTAAAAAAGAAGAACGATTAGATTGATGAGAACGCATGCAGATAGGCGGATAGATGAATTTGGCGGTGGAAATAGACATAAATTTTATTCAAGTGTTTTTCCCATTTCCTGGCCGTAATTTTCTCTCTTTCTTTCCATAAATGATGTTTGTCTGCTTATTATTCATGAAATTTATATAGTATTTCACTTAGTATTTCCATTATATATATATATATAATATATATATATTATATATATATATATATATATATGAACATTTATTAATAAACAAAATACATTTACAGAAAAAAACATAAACATGAATACAATGGCACAATGTATCAAAGATGATGAATTTCCTCCAGCTCCTCCGAGGCTGGACGTGAGCCAAGTATGCAGCAAGCATTTCCCCTCTGGATGGCGACGCTGAGGCGCTGGAACATGAAAGTGGCTGCCCTTGGGTCCTGGTGGTGTCGATGAGTCTGGAACCCAATTCTTTAAGGAAACGTGTGGCATTTTTTCCCCATGATCCCAAGGTCTCTGATCCCACTGGAACAAATTGATACTGTTGGCTAATGTCCCTGTACTTGCTGATCTTGTACTCCTCCCTGTGGTCAGCAGCTCCTCCTGTCGCCCCACCACTGTGATGGATATAGGTGTCACCCAGTGTGGACACACAGGTATAGTCCCATGCTAAGAGCTTGCCATTCTTCCAAGGATAGATGGTGATCCCGTCGGGGCGGTTTGCTGGGTTGTGGGTATTGTTTGCTGCAAGTGATCGTGGCTCCTCTCGGCAGGGCATCCAGCTGTAGCAAGGGTTCTCTTAATGATGTCGTTGACCTCATTGTGTCTCTGCATGCCAGCCTTGGGTTTTTGGGAACAGTTAAGACCATGTAGACCGTATTGGTCTGCTTGCACTTCGCCGCAAATACACATATATTCTGTGTGAATTGGGGCAGCAAGGCGCAGAGCCACTGCAATACGGAGGGTCTTAGGGTCGAGTCGCGTTCCCATTGCCGATATGGGAACTGTTTGGAGGAAGTCCCCGGAGTGATGTGCACTCACAGCCTGGAGACGGGCAATCTCCCTATCTGATGTTGCAGCCCTGAGCATGTTGGCAAGCACCTGGTCGCTTTATTAGGTACACCTGTACACCTGCTCCTCCTGGCACTGACGTGGCAGCACGTCAGTGCCTAAAAGCATGCAGACATAGTCAAGAGGTTCAGTTGTTGTTCGGACTAAACATCAAAATGTGATCTAAGTGACTTTGAAATGTGATCTAAGTGACTTTGACTGAGGAATGATTGTTGGTGCCAGACGGGGAGGTTTGAGAGTCTCGGAAACTGTTGATCTCCAAGGATTTTTACCAACAAAGTCTACAGTTTGCTGAAAATGGTGTGAGAAACGCTAAACATCCAGTGAGTGGCAGTTCTGTGGACGAAAACACCTTGTTAATGAGAGAAGTCAGAGGAGACTAGTTCAGGCTGACAGGAAGACGAAAGTAATTCATACAACAGTGGCATGCAGAAGAGCATCTCTGAATGCACAACACGTTGCACTTTGTAGTGGATGGGTAGGCACCAGAAGATCACACTGGGTTGCCCTTCTGTCAGTTAAGAACAGAAAACTGGCACAGTCTCACCAAAACTGGACAGACGAATCGTGATTTCTGCAGCGACATGTAGATTGTAGGGTCGTAATTTGGCTTGAACCTTTGGGGTATGGTGGAATGGAATATTCACAGCATGAATGTGCAGCCGACAAACCTGTGCCAAATGCGTGATGTTATCATGTTATTATGGACCAGGATCTCTAAGCAATGTTCTAAGTACCTTCTTGAATCAATGCTACGAAGAACTGAGGCTGTTCTGAAGGAAAAAGGTGAGCCCTATCCATTACTAGAAGAATATAGCTAATGAATTGTCCCCAGAAACAAGCTGGGGTATATGCAGATTAAGATCGCAATCAGCAGGATTTCGAACTGCGTCTTGGGAGTGTCATAGCTCCCCAAGTGACACTTTACACCACTTAGTCGCAGATGCCACCAAAATCTAGGTAGCCCCTTTCTCACCAGTGAGCCTCAGGCATGGTTTCAAGCTATTTCATTCCCCCATTTCTCTGTATATACCTCCTCTTGATTCTGCATGGTGCATTGATATAAAATCACTCGTGTAGACATACAATCAGGAAGACAATGAAATAGCTTAAAACCATACTTGAGATTCACTGGCGTGCCCGGGGTTAGGAGGAAAATTTGAAGCGTCTGACACGGAATCTGTTTCACTACAGTTTCTCAAGGGTCGTGAAAAACTAATCCTGGATGTGATTTGCAGGCCCAAGACCTTGATAGAGAATACAGTAAATTTCTATCGGACGAAATTCATAAGACATCTAGATAGGAAAATGTTGCATTAATGGGAGATTTTTAAATTTAGACAAATTGATTGGAGGAATTTGACAGGAAATCTTGAGTGTAGTAGCTTTCTTGATACGATGCTAGACTTAGTTCTTGCCAACAAGGAATCACTAATTAATAATCTTGAGGTTTAATGATGAGCTTGGGAAAAGTGATCACAATATATCAGTTTCAACATATCATGGACTTACCTTTATAACTACAAACGAATCATTGTTCCTGACTTCCGCTTGGCAGATTTCATAAGACTCCGAAATTACTTGGGTGGGTTGAACGGGAATGACCTGACCATGAGTCAGATAGGTGGTGATGGTTGCCGACACGAGACATTTTTCAAAGCATAGATTTAGCTGCTCAGACTAGTTATGTTCTAAACAGAGAAATTAGATCAAACAAAAATGACCGTAAACGGATAAACTGTCAACAGTTTAATAAATGTGTAGTATTATATAAGTGAGAGTACCATTTATAGTCATGGTCCCTGGCTATGCTGTTGTCACGGGCTACTCCGGTTAGCCAGCTAGCCGACAGCCAAAGCTCTCGCTTCTTGTTAGGCTTCGAAACGGGTAGATGCAGACAAGCTGGGTTCTCCAGGTAATCACAATATAAGAAACCCCATCATAGGTCAAAAGAGAGGCATTTATAGGCGAATCAAAAGGGAAGATAAGCAGTTAAGAAATCAATATATTCAACTAAAAAAAATAAAAAAAGGAATAAGAGAAGTAGAGATCAGGGACAAGATAGGCCCGCTCGAAATCTACTCGGGTCAGCTCACTGACAGTGATAAGGAGATATGTAGACCTTTAACACTTATTTCCTCTCAGTTTTTATGCAGGAAGATACTAATAAAATTCCAGAAATAATGAATTATGTAGAACACAACGAAAATAAGTTATGCATGATCAAAGTCACTAGTGACATGGTTCTCAGACAAATAGAGAGAAAAGAAAACCCAACAAATCACCGGGCCCTGATGAACTGTTCACGAGGGATTTAAAGAAATTTAAAGAGCAACTTAGCAAACCCCTGGCTTGTCTTTTCAACATATTTCTACAAACTAGCATGATGCCTGATAAGTGGAAAATGGCAAATCTACAAAGCAGGAGACAGATCCTTAGGATCGAACCATAGACCAATAAACCTAACCTCTACTGTGGGAAAATTGATGGAATCAATAATTACCGAGGCTGTTCGAAGCCACCTTGAGAGACATAAATTGATTAATGAAGCTTAGCACGGTTTTACAAAGAGCGTTCCTGCCTTACGATTCTGCTAACTTTTTTCACTAAGGTATTTGAGGATAGGTCACGGTAATGCATGTGATATGTGAAACTGTGTATATGGACTTTTAAGACTTTTGATATAGTTCTACGTCGGAGGTTATTAAGGTAAGTAGAGGCTCATGGGATAGGAAGAGATTTTTTTTCCTGGACAGAGACGTAGTTGACAGATAGGCAACAGAGAGTTTACATAAACGGGGTGAAATCAGAGCGGGGACGCTTCACTAGCGGTGTTCCACAGGGATCAGTGTTGGGCCCTTTGTTGTTCACAGTTTACATAAACGACATAGATGAGGGCATAAATAATGACATAAGAAAGTTTGCTGACGACTCCAGAATAGAATTAATTCTGACAGGGACACTAGAACGCTGCAGGAAAATCTCAACAGACATGCAGTGATCGTAGTGGCAGATGCAGTTTAATGTAGACAAATGCAAAGTTCTATGCGTTCGAAAGGAAAATAACCATAACACTTATTAATCTAAATAATGTAGATCTTAATATTACTGATTGCGAAAAAGATTTGGGAGGTCTGGTTAGCAGTAATATAAAACTAAGACAGCAGTGCGTGTTTGCAAAAAGTGAATAGAATTCTTGGCTTCATATCAAGAAGTATAAATAACAGGAGTCCTCGGGTTCTCAGGAGCCTTCAGCTCTAAATATCGTTGGTTAGGCCTCATTTAGATTATGCGCTGGAAAACGCACAAAAAAGGGATGCCAAAGTTGAAACCTGAATCAGAAATCTTTCCTACGAGGATAAACTGAGGGCCCTGAATCTGCACTCTAGAGAGACGTAGAATTAAGGAAGA